CCTTTGCTCTCCATGTTGTTGTTCTTGGGTTTGTTCTCCTTGTCGTTCTTGTTGTTCCTGCTGCTCTTGTCGGAAGCGTTGTCGGACTCCGAAGACTGATAACGAAACAAAACATACTGAAACTATTATTACTGTAACTATTTTTTGAAACTTCGATTTTCTCGTTTGATTTTCACTCGAAATCGGGAAGTGCAAGGCGGAGAGAACTTAGGACATACTAACAGTGTTACAAGCAGAAGTCGCAGGTCGCAATGTAAGTTACCTCGTGCTTGTCGGGCTTGCCGGCGAGCGGTGCGAGCGGTGCGGGCGGCGCGGTCGGTGCTGCGGGCGGTGCGGGCGCGGCGGAGGCGGGCTTGTCGTCTCGCTGCGCGGGGCTGCCGGCCTCCTCCTTGTCCTCTGCACAGAGAGGGCGAGGTGAGCATGCGGCACCGCACGCGGGCACGTCGCCGCGCGCTGCAACATGCTCAGTAGGAAGGCAGCATGCGTGTATTCAACACAAACTCTCTGACAAAGGCACATCGCATGGTTTTCATCATAGCATTGATTTTATACGCATTTTGGGTTTTTCAAATGGCGTATTGGTTAGTTGCCAACAATACATTAGATAAATAAAAAGTGTGGTTTAAGCGAGTGTACCATCGTCGCGCTCGTCATCGGATAGCGGCTGGCGAGGGTGCGCGAACAGGTCGGGCAGCAGGTGCCGCAGCAGCTGCTTAATGCGCCGCTTCTCCGCCTTCTGGATGCCGGTCTGCCGGCGCGCGTGATGAATCAGCAGCTCAGCCGCGTCGCGCAGGATCTTGATGGCTAAAACAGACCAAGCGGCGCGCATTGAGTCTCTTGTGCGTCCGCACGCAGCACGCAGCATGCAGCACGCAGCGCGTGCGCCGCGCGGCGAGACGTCAGTAGGAAGGCAGCATGCGTGTAATCAACATTCGAGTTCTGACAAAGCACATCGCATGGTCATCATCACGGTCTCTGTGGGAGGGGGTCGCGGGAAGGGTCGCGGGGCGCGGCATGTGTCGGTACCTTCCTGTCGCGACTGCATCTGGTAGTCGACGACGAGGTGCGGCGCGGGCCGGCGCGCGGCGTACGCGGCCTCCACCTCGTTGAACAGCGACTTGGAGCGCATCGCCTTCAGGTCGTTCTGCTTGAAGTTAATGCCCTGGTGGTCCAGCGACTTGAGATAGTACTTCTCGTTCTGCTCGCGCCACTGTTTGTTGAAGCCCTGCCGGGAAACATTCGGAGCGTCTTGAATACTCCCATCCGATGAAACGGGAAGGTTTCGCGGAGGGTAGGGTAGGAGGAACTTACCTTTTGCGCCTCGCGCCACTCCTCCTCTTTGGCCTTGAGTCGGCGCAGCACTACAGGCACCGCCACCACGGGGTTCTTCTTGAGACCGGCGATGATGTCCACCGCCTGCACACACCACACATCATTGACAATTACGTTTCATAAGATATTGGAGTGATCATGGTGTTGTGTATGTTTAGACCGTATGCGGTAACTATGATGATCGTTGGACTTGCAATTTCCGCGCCGACATATCTACCAGGTTAGGATAATCGTGTGATAAGTAAAGTATATTGGTGTGCGTGTGTGCGTGTGTTTGTGCGCATGCGTAGAGCGTGCATGGCCGTACCACCTTATCACCGTAAATGCGGCGCAGCGCACGCTGGTGTATGGTGGGCGAGTGACCGCCGAGGCAGTCGTCCAGGCGGTACTTGGCGGCGTCCTCGGGCGCCATGCGCGACATCTTCTTCTGCACGCCCTCCAGCACGCGGATGGTGGCCGCGTTCGTCTCGATCACCACGTCCAGCTGCACAGAGCACGCGATCACACATTCCGTCACATTACGTATGAAGGCGACCCGACACCACCGAACTAATGACATACCTCGAAGCGCTCGTCCTCGCATCTGTATATGTACTCTTCGTACTGCGTCTTGCGGGAGGTGACGAAGGTCGAGTCCTCGCTCCACGTCGGTATGGACACCCAGGTGTCGTTGAGCACCTGCAATGATACGAGCGGCATTGGCGAGTCGCTGTACTCGTGAAGTGGTTTAAATGTAAAATGTCAGATGGGTGTGGCGTGCGTCACCTCCTTGCAGAGCGGCGTGCGGCCGGAGCAGCGGCGCGCGGCGGCGTCCCGCGGCAGCGCGCAGTACGACGTGCCCAGCCGCTTGCACGTCGTCAAGTCTACGCAGCAAGGTGTCATATCATTTACATTTGTTTCTTCAAACAATGGAGATATCGCAAATTTGACAGAACAACGCACCTATATCCATGGCGGCGTCGCCCTGCGCCCGCTCGTTGCGCAGCTGCGGCGGCTCGTAGCGCAGCTTGCCGTCACCGAGACGGTCGCGCGCGTACCCCAGTAGCGGCGGGCCCCCCACCCCACCCCCCGCCGCGTACGGGGCGTGGGCGTGGGCGTGGGCGTGCAGCGGGGTGGGCGCGGGCGCGGTGGGCGTGTGCGGCGGCGAGGGCGAGGCCGGGCCCACGAAGTCTTGCAGCCACTTCTGCAGCTCGGGGTGCCGGCACAGGAAGGGCCCCGTCACAGACACCAGCTCCGACGACGATATTATCTCGTTCGTGAACAGCAGCAGGCATCTGCCGCAACAAAGTGACGGTCTCACAAACGGAACCATCAAACTGTCTGTACGGTGTAAACAAGGCACAACACTCGCATCTATCACATTAACAATGGCATCACCACCCATGAGACTAAAGCATATTTCCTTTCACTGAACGTTACAATTTTGCATACGTAGGGAGGGCGCGTGTGGCGTGGCGTGGCGTACCTGAGGAAGTTGTCGTAGACCTGCTGCGAGCGGAGCGCCTTGCGCGCGCGGTCGAAGAAGCTGTAGTCCTGCGCGGTGGCCAGCTTGGCCGCCTCCGCGTAGGAGACGTCGCGCAGCGCCGGCACGCCTCCAGCACCCCCAGCACCCGGCGCACCCGGCGGCGTGCCCGAGCTGCAGCGCGGCTTCTTGCTGGGCGGCGCGCCCGACCCTGCGGGTGTGCCAGCCTCAGTACCCCTCATCAACTTTCCTACGTCTCCTTATTTACAAAATAAAACACGTCCCATTAATGTTATCATTTGCGTCGAATATTAGCTACCAATGAGAAACTTACCGATTTGACTTGAGGAAGTAAAACTCGGTGACCTTTTTAAATGATGATGCTGAGGAGGCGGAGCCGGCGCACTGACGGAGGTCGGGTGCTTCAGTGCCTGGAAAGAATACTTTCTAAGAATATCAAGCCATAGTTAAAATGTAAATTGGTCGATTGTAATATTGTTACATCAGCACGTCGGCACCTGCGCGTACTTACGGGAGCAGAGGGTGCGGGGTGCGCGGGGTGCGCGGGATGCGGCGCGTGCGCGGGCAGCGTTGCGTGCGCGAGTGTGTGCGCAGGGTGTGCGGGTGAGGTGTGAGGTGCGCCGGGCTGCGGTGACGTCGCCGCAAATCGCTCTCCATCCATCTGCAAACACAAATACGCTGTCACGTATGCGGTGTGCGGCGTGCGGCATGCGGCGTGCGGCGGGCGGCGGGCGGGCGTACCTGTGCGGCGTGCGGCGGCGGCGGCGGCGGTGAGAGGGGCGAGCGGGCGTGTGCGGCGTGCGGTGCGTGCGCGGTTTGCAGCGCGTATTGCGCGGGCTTCGTCACCGCCTTGGCATCCGGCAGGAATTGCCCGAACTCTGCCAGCAGGTCCTCCTGGTTTTCAAACAGCTTCGCTACCTTCAAACAATAGACGGGTGATAAGCGATAAAGTGTGTACTTTTGCTAATACCATTATATTTTTTATTAATATAGTTAGCAAAAGGAGAAGAATGGCAGTAAAATTTAGAAAAGGCCTTTCTACAGCAAATTCAAATGGATGGCTATAAAATAGAAGGTGGACAATGTGAGCGGCGTACCTGCGAGTACACCTCCTGCTCGGTCTGCTGGCGAGCCTGCGGCTCCTTCACGTCCCGGTGGCCGCGCTGGTACGCGTGCAGGATCTCCAGGAACCGCTTGTACTTGTCCGGCTGCCTCGAGAATCGGGACTGCAAACAAACGCACATCATTCCTAACTTCTCTCAAGTTACAATTTGATAATTGTTATGAATGTGATCCAGAGCGGATGTGAGCGCTCACCTTGATCTTGTTGACGTACTCAATGGCATGGTTGAACTCGACGGGCTGTCCGGCCGCTGCGGCGTGCGCGCCTCCGCCGCTCCCTGCACCACACCACACCGCATCATCGTTACACTCGTTACAACAACCTCATACATCACCACTGCTGCTGGTACTACACGAATAACGCGTTACACCCGATGAGTCTAGTACTAGAGACCGATTAGTCCTTTTGTTTCTTCCCACCTTCTTCAATTGGGCGAGGATGCGAAGGGAGGTCGAAATCGATAGGGGAGACCATGAAATATGTAAAACCTTCATAATAGGTTATTCCTTTTTTTTGTAATATCACATTATTTTTTTAATTATTTCTGTTGCAGATAACTATAAGTAGCAGTGAGAACAGTTTGTTGTTAAAATTTGAAATATTTACCTTGGTTGTGATGTATGGAGGCGGCCTCGATCTGCTGGTGCGCCTGCGAGATGTGGTGCAGCGCGTTGGCGGAGGGCGCGCTCACCGTCATGTTGTGCACGATGGCGCCGCCCACCGGCCTGCACACAACCACCACATCTCAGCACATCTCCATCTCAGTACACCCCAGCACACCCCATCACACATCTTACCACTCAATATATTCAGAACTTTAATAAGCAGCCATTAGTTTTATCACCAAACTCAAACGGTAATTTGTTTCATCACATTTATCGGCTTCTAGAAGACCACACGCACCACACGACATACGAAATGAGCATTATTTAGCAAAAAGTGTTTGTGACGTACGCTTGCACCGGCAGCAGGTGCAGCAGCTGCGGCTGCGACGAGTGCGTCACGCCCAGCATCATCCCGCCGCCCATGCCCACGCCGCTCACGCTGGCCACGCTCACGCCGCCCACGCTGCCCACACCGACGCCCACGCCCACGCCGCCCAGACCCGTCGGCGACGGCATCGACACCGACACCTGCCACACGACACACACATTATATCATATGTAGTGTTGTGTTGTGTTGTGTACACATTTGCTGAATTCAGAATATAATATTGCAGCCATTGATTATCGTCACAGTAATCAAACGGTAATTTTTCTCATCATTCCATAGCTGGTGTGTTGAGTGAGTGAGGCGGGGTGGGGAGATGAGGTACCTGTCCGTTGCTCTGCACCTCTATCTTGTACCCGGGAGGCAGGAAGGTGTTGAAGCCGACGATCAGCTCTGGGTGGCCCTTGAACAGGTTGGAGACGCGCTTGATGACGCCGGGCGTGTCGATGCTACAACAATGGCTACTGTTAAACAAACGAGATGCAGCTAGTCTAGCAACGCCCACTTGCAAACCACGTCAGATAATAATATTGCAGCCATTGGTTATCGTCAAAGAAGTCAAACGGTAATTAGTTTCATCATGGTTATGAAATACATTATATTAAGGAGTCTTTAGAATTATAAGCAATGAAACACTTCATCTTGCTAAGTCATCCACAACAACTTAAAACCTCAAATATTACTACTAGTGTTTAATAATCTGAACTAAACCAAAACCGTACCGCACTCGGCTCAGCCGTCCTCGAGGTAGGCGCACACTAACTCACGCACATTATTCCAGACAAGTAATGTTTTAATTATGTGTATATTAATAAAGATGATAGTATAAATATATATTGATTATTTCAACAGAATTTGAGAAGAGGATGAACACACACTTACGTCTGACTCTTAAATTCCTTCATTATGTCGAGGAAGTCGTTGTACACCTGCGGTTGTGTGCTGAACTTGAACTTGACCTGGTCCAGGTACGACAGCGCGTCCTCCACCTTCAGTCGCTGGAACTGTGCGCCGGGCGCGCCCCCGACCCCGCCCCCCGGCGCACCCCCCGGCCCTCCCACCGCACCGCCCGGCGCCACGCCCGCCACGCCGCCCCCCACGCCGCCCGACGCACCCGGCGACTGCCGCCCCAGCGGCGTCGGCGCGTGCGCTACCTGCACACCAAACACCGCATCATAAAACTGTGCTACTCGCTCGTATATTCGCTTTCTACACTTCTTTAACATCTCGATCACCTTTTAATATTACTGTTTGCTGTTTGTCAACAGTACTGGTTAGAAAAAACATAAATATCGAAGGGCACTAAAACGTAACAACATAATGGAGTGGAGTGTTGCCACAGAGAGGCATACTGACCCGGAGGCGCGGGGGCTGCGGGGGTTGCGGCGGCTGCTGCGCGGGCGGCTTGTGCGCGCCGTACTGCACTCCCGCCTTCAGGTGGTAGTTGATGACGGGAGCGGCGGGGCGCGAGGCGCGCGCGAAGCCCCCGCCCACCGGCACCATGCCGCCCACGCCCACGCCCACCCCACCAGAGGACGACACACCTGCGCGCACAGACATTCCTATTGGAGAATACTAAATGCCATTTGCCCATGACCACTACTTACATTTAAAAATTCATAAGAAAACGTTTTAAGTGGCAGTTGCCATGGTGTAAAATTGAGAGGGTACTAACAAAATTGGCCCAGTAGTTTTGAGTTTATTTGTTACATATAAGACAGAACACAGAAAAAGTTCATTAAATATTAAATATGCTTCCGGCTAAATTATAATTTTCGCTTTCAAGAATACCTAAACTTATGTAGTAAATTTCATGTTCTCCCTCTTGATGTTCGACGGGAAGTAGCAGCCTCTTTATGTTAAATATTACAAAACGGTAGTATTGACTGTCACTCTCTTCTCTCTAAAATATCAATTAATGTACCAAAGAAATCAGCACGCCATCGCATTCCTATTCATCTTCCTATGGCATCTTCTAACTATAGACAAAATTCATTTATTTTGCGAGCTGGCTTCTTTGTTAATAATCACTCTAAAAGTTCCACTTTAGATATATTTAATTCTACAAGTAATTCGATAAAGCATGTTTTTCATCAGATTTCTTTCACTAAGAACAAAGTAATAAACTAAAGATCAAACATATTTAAACTTAGTTAATATTTGTTCGCGCAAAAGCATTTGTGTAAAATGTCACTATCGTAGCGGATCTATAATTGGCTATATGTTTCCTAAATAATTTTATACTTAATTTGTAAAAATGGCTGTTGGTCTTCCAATAGATAAATAAATAAATAAAACAGAAATCTTCCTTCTATAATGTACAAGTGATAGCGGGTTTCCGGTGCAGTGCAATACTAGCATGTGGCCACAACTTGTCCATAGTATTATGTACTATATACTAACCGATGATCTGCGGCTGCGCTGCCGCTTGCGCCAGGGAGTGCATAGTGGTGGCTGCCTGTTGCACCTTCAACAAAACAACATTTCATTGCACAAAGTACCCTATCCATTTAAGATAGCCATACTCACACTTTAAATGCAAACAAAGGATTGGTTGCAATAATAAATTAAAAAAATGTATCCAAGGAAATATATTGTCAAGTATTACAGTCATGGTATGTTAATGTACCTGTGCAGCAGAGTGCGAGGCGGAGTGAGGAGCGGAATGGGGAGAGGCGTGTGAGGCAGAGTGCTGGGCTGGATGCGTAGGCGCAGGCTCATCGGGGCCGGCGCGGCCGCCCGAGCGCTTCATCAGGCCGCTCATTGCACACCCATCACACACTCACACAGAGTGCCTGCAACACACAACTCTTTCATTTACTTTTTTTCTTATAAGGAAAGGATGGGAAGTGGAAGTTGACTTTCCAGATGAGAGGATGCATGGAAATGTTTTCTTTCTGTGTATCCTCTCCTCCATAAATTAAAGGTTGGCAACGCATATGCAATTGCGTATGTCTCTGGACAACGGTCACTTCGCTATTTCAGCGATATCAGGTGGCCGCTCGTTCGTTTGCCACCTTATGATATAAAAAAAATACAATATTGTGTTTTGTTTTTGTCATATTATAAGATTATTAATTTGCGATTTAAAAATGTGACCATTATAATTTTGAAAAGTACCTTATTTAAAATTTGGAAATAAATATTAAACATAAGAAAATGTAAATGACACGTTAATTTAACCCCAAAATTAAAACCTGCAGAGGTCGTTTTAGACGCTTCTATGCTCCGATTTAGGTATCTTTAGGTTATATATATCTATACTCTTAAATAAATTTCTATAATAAGTGCGGTATAGAGTGGCCGGTTGTGGCGCCCAACAATACAACAGCAGGCCAGGCGGCATCACGACACGTGGTGGCCTCGCGAGCATGACGTCATGGCCCGCCACATTAACTAATGGCAACGCACAGCGTACAAAGCAACGACAACGAGCGAACCAACATTTGAAGCAGGTTTAGATCGCGATATCATTATTTAATATACATATTGCTACCTAAATTAAACACAACATTAAATTCAAAATCGAATCGGTAGAGTGCGAAATTCCTCAGCGTGGCCTTTGAGGAATTCCGCATGTGCTTCTAAGCAGCAATCCGGCCGCGGACCGGTCCGGCGCGGCGCTTCGGTAATGACACAAACCTGCACTTGTTGTTTGTAGCGAAAGATAAATCGATAACCCGCCGACTTGTCAAGCGTTGCAGGACGCCATTTCGATGGCTTCACTAAAACCGCACCATCGATACCCCACCTTTTTAGCGCGCGTTTTGACAATGTACCTAGCTCAGAATTGCTTCGCGACAAGTATTATAAAATTATATTATTACTTTCACAATGAATCATAGCAGAGTTGTACGTATAAGCAATTATCGCCTTTCCAGCTAGTAACCTAAGGTCTGATTTGCTAAACCACAAGAAACGGGAACAGAGCGGCGGCATTCGTCACGTAGAAAACTGCTAGTCAATGCAAACAATTATTTATGTCGTACTCGAATCAAAACTGCTTTTTGATTTACATTACTATAAGTAAAAGCTAAAGCGTGTAACAAAAAACATTAGTCGAATAGTGAAAAACTAAACACTATATACGTACCCATATACTGCACGAACGTGTGAATTATTTTTTTAAATGAGTATTTATTCGAGTCAAACTGTGATTGAATTGATAAAAATTGTGGCAATATCCAATATATTCCGAAGTAGCGTGCAGATTCGTGCGCCTCTAAATAGCGCAACGGCGCAACTTTTTGAGCGCGGCATCAACACGGTCAGGTGGGCGAGGTTGCGACACCGCCATGTCACCGTCCCAGTCTCGCGCGAATGTCTCACTCGGACCCCACGGTCTCTCTCGCACTCGCATCTCGAGCGCAAAATAAAGTTGTAGCTTCGCATGAACGTCGAGCTCCGAGCCGCGTCACCGACTGACTGAAAGCGATCGTGAGTTTGCGAGCCCGAGCTCGTCGCCCGCATGGCGAGTGGCGCAGCACAGCACACCACCGCCGCCAAGTACGGCAACCTCGCTTTCGATTAACAGACACCAACAAAGGCATCAAAAGCCGCGACTCAACTTCAACGATGGGTCTCTACTCACAAGGGTGGTCGACCAAAACACCTTTCTCTAAAATTATACAACACGCAGTCACATCTAGCAGTTTGGATTTTCTTACTCGCCGGACGGGTGTCCCGTAAAGAGTTGGTTATTCCGGAACCCCTAAGGGTATATTTGTTAAGGGCACAAATAATATTTTTTTTAAATACTTCACATCATCAAATTAATGTAAACCAGGTCTAACTTATTGGTGCAGTCACTTTACAGATCAAACTCGAAATGTCCTACAAGTATGTGGTCCATACTGTCGTAATGCCGTTTCCATTTATTTTGTTTTAGACGGGTAGCGTGAGCTGTCAAAGGTTATATTAACTTAAATATCTTTTATAATCACCTACAGTTTTAAATGTACAGTCGAAATGTGCAGTTAAAACTGAACCTCTGTGGCAGGCTTCTGGTGGTACTACTCACATGCAGCAAAAACAGTGGCATGATAAACTTATGAAGCAAATTAAATATTAAGTTAATTACACACCGTGCGTGCAATCGATGATTCTGACCGACCGCACGCATTCTTTATCTTTCATGCGTGTACTGTCTACGGCTCGGCGCGAAGCGGAGCACAGTTCTTTGGTACCAAACAATACGTATAATAACAACCTTGGGTCTCTTATCTTCTGCACTTATAAACCTGCGACGGCGCGCTCTGTTTGCGGCGTTGCCAACATTACGCGCACTCGGTTACCTCTACCTTATCTATGATTACGTCCTCCTTAACGCCGCCATTTCAGTTCAAATCAGTCAGGTGCAAATATTTACCAATAATGTATTAGAATTATTTTATTCATAGGAAATAATGTAATATGTACTTATACGGATATGGATATTAAAAACCTAAAGTTGCTTAAAATTTGAAATAACTTCCACATGGTGTAGTTATGTAATAGACTATAAGATAGGGCTGTTACTATAATTAAAGACCTTTTAAATTGAGTCTTATAGCGGCAAAAAGATTAACTATTGCATCCGCTATTGCAAGAGTACATCTGTGGCATGTCTACGTAGGTACGATAGCAGTGTCGGCGCAAACGGTAGATGATACGTACATTGGATGGGCTGGGCGTCGACGCCTAGAGTGGAGCGCACGCTCCGAGCTTCCTGGGCATGTCCGACTCATGCTCAGATTTATCACAGATTTAGAAATTTTTGCAATAAATCCACAAAATTGATCACGCACAGCCGCCATTTTGAATCGGCACTAAACGATAAGTGGAGTGGATGGGCAGGTTGGTTCTCCGTCGGCGGCGGCGCGGCGTTGCCACGTCGTTATCGCTACCCTATACACACTTCTATTTCTGGCTCACTCGGCATCGGCACACCCGCCACTGCCCCTCTCTGCCCCGCTCTCACAACTGACACGCTACGCTACAAACAAACGCTTACAAAACAATCATTGTGAAATTTTTTGAACTTTGCTGGCAGTAGCTTCATTAGCGGTTCAATACTGATAGTTTGGCATCTTGGTTTTTTAAAGTTGTTAAAATAAGGATTTAATGGAAATTCAACATGTCTTGTTTCATTATTATAGTTAGTGCTTGCGTGATACTGATACATCGGACGACGGGCCGGCTTTCACCAGTGCGGAGCGGAGCGGGGAAGCGGGCGGCGCGGAGCACATGCTATTGGCCGTTGGCCACCGCAGAGATCGATAGACAAACAGCGTCGAGGACGCCGACCCACATGCTATTATCGGTCTTGAACAGCGTACTATAGAGAGCATTTTGCCCTGGTTCTAATTATAAACAAACTATATCGAACAAATACATTGACGTACTCACAACGACAAAGGCGCCCACTGCACACACACAACAGCAGTGACTATGGGCCTGTGGAAACGACGCAAGCGAGCGGCAAGCGCGACCCGAGCTACGAATGTATATCATGTATTATGGCACTTTTCTAAAGACGAAATTCCTATACCTCGACTGCTTGGCACACCCACTTCCCCAGCCGTTCTTACAGACTTAAAGTAAATGCCGGTATACAAATGCATATATATTGTTTATATAAATAAAACTATTCGTTTACGTGATTAGATATCACGATCGTTTTCATACGACCTTACTCGTATCGCATTTTTTTAAACTATAGATCTTTATATGAATATGAACCGACCTTATCACTGTTTTTAGATGCACGAGCTAAAATACGACTACATTACATCAGATATTGTGAAAAAGATGTGGGACAAAATAGGCTTAATAATATTATTGTTTTATAACGTTTAATTAAGAAAGCTATTGGATATGACTAGTTTAAAATTGTAAAGACGCAATCTGTCAACTAGTTTACTTACCTCTATTTTACTTAAAATCGTAGTATTCTTAACCTACGTCACAGGAATCTCACTTCTCAATAAAATTAAACGTCACTTATGGTATTTTAAGATTTAGGAATTCATTTAGATACACAAAAGAATTATTCATAACGCTAAGTTTATGTCATACACGATCTAACTGCGTAACCTGCCGCAACAGAACTGTTCGGTTGGTCGGGTCCGGTCGGTTGACTGACTTGACGGTGGGGGAATGGCGGGCGGAAAACTATAGAACGGGTGGTCGAGGGAGGCAAATACTAAACATTGTTAATAAAAGGAAAATATTGATTAACAAAAAACATCTACACAATAATACTATCTATTAAAAAATGCTTTTGTTTTCAGTTTTACTAAATTACAGAGTTTTATTTCTAAATTTTTATAAAAAGTAGTGAATTTGACAACCTTACATTTCGATTGACGATCGACTGCTAAGAAATTTCGTTTTACGCATTTGAATCGTAGAGAAACACGATATTTTGATCATTCGTTTCCATTTATCTCCAGGCATGCATATGATAACTTTAGATGTGGCCAAAATTATGTAGAAGAATTTATTTTGTTATTTAATTTTAATTTAGTATTGCTGATACTCTTAATACAACATTTTTTCAACACAGCTGTGCTAATCCTGAAGTAACCAATCACATTGAAGTGCGTGGTTTTGACTTTTGACAGAAAAAGATAATGATAACATAACACACGTAGGTAGGAATTTAGAATTTTATGTCCATTTAAAGTTTTCCCGTCCTATAGTAAAGTTTATGTCTAGTATTTGTAATTTGTAAAGCAACATAATGCGATTAATTTTCTTAATTTTAAGTTATTCTCTATGTTTCTTGTACGTTTCTGCAAAAATAGACCCGCAAAATTTAAAATGCCTTGGTATGTAGTAAATGTTATTTTGGCAAAGATAATTCATTTGTTTGTTTTAATAAGGAAATTTGATAATTTTCAGTTTGTCGCCAGACGTTCGAAGAACTAAATAAGGTTATCAAGAACGTGGAGAAATGGAAAAAAGTGGATGTAAGTTATATTATAAATAAACAGTGTTTTTATGTTTTTGAACAACTTTTAACGATAATAACTTTGCTCATTATGTTTGATGTAGTTACATATTTGTGCGTTTTTACGTATGGATGTGCCTAGCCTAAACTGGTGATGACTGATAAGTACTCTTTCCCTTCTTATTTAGTTACTTGTTTCCTAAGGGAGTTTTATTCTGGATATATTATTAATATACAGATATTTATATTGCTACATAATTTATTAATCATCTATAAGTGAAAATGACCATTTCCAATTCCCCTTATAAACTAGAAACTTAGGTTAGTGAGAACATTTTATAAGTGATAAAATATAGCCATATTGTGACCAGTTTCCAGGGTCCGATGCATGTAAAACTGGTGCCACAATAATACTAAATTGGTCTAATATTAATAATTAATTAATTCTATAAAGCAGGCTTTTTGTCGAAACTTTTTCATTAAGAACAAAGTAATAAACTAAAGAACAAACATAATTAAACTAATCAAGCTTTTCTTTTTGTAATCTTGTAATTCTTTTTTGTGCTTTTTGACTCTTGTTAATGTATAATATTTGTTCGAGCTAAAACATTTGTGTAAAATGCCACTATCGGCGAGGATCTATAATTGGCTATATGTTTACTAACTATTGTTGAACTTAATTTGTAAAAATGGCTGTTGGTCTTCCAATAAATAAATAAATATTGAAATGTGGATTGAGTAAACTGTTAAGAAGATGCCGTCACATTGCAGGTGGGCAACTTCAGAATGGACGCAGAGGGCAACACCATGCAGCAGAAGGTGCCCGCGCATCGCTCCGCCGTCTACATCTCTGAGCTCATTGACAGCATTTGTGAGTAGTCAAGCCCGCTCGTCGGCAAGCGTGCGGCTGTGACTCTGGCTGATAATACTGGTCACGTTTTTTTTATCTCATTGCATTGGGATTCCTGTATGATTTCGTGAGGACTAGGTGGGCTACATCAGGCTGCGAGGACGAGCGAATCAGTAGTTGTATATGAGATGCGTGTTGTCGTCGCGTTGCAGGCAAGAAGATGGACGACTACGTTCGCGTGTACTACAAGTCCACGGGCAAGCTGGCCATCATGCAGCTGGTGACGGAGGAGGGCGGCATGAACCCCGAGTTCAGTAAGACCAAGTTCGTCACCGACGACGACCTCAACAAGAGTCTCGAGTACTACGTGAGTACCGGAGCGGCGAGCGGGGAGCAGCGAGCGGCGAGCAGTGTGTAGCCGTGTAGTACATGTGTTCTTTGTGTTGTGAGCAGTGCGAGCGCATGTTCGAGGACAGCGAGGACGAAATCACTGCGCTGTACCAGCAGCGGCCGCACGACGACGTCATGCCCGACGCCGAGCACGCGGTCTGTACCTCACACCTCGCACCTCACACCTCGCACCTCACACCTAGCACCCCACACCTCGCACCTCACACTGCGTACCACTACTGCTGGCGACTAGCTCGCTAGCCGCGTATGTCGGCCCAGATGACCTTATCGCACTCTACAAATTAATTCTGATTGCACTGATAACGTTTTTTAACTAAAAAGAAATATGATCCGTGAGCACATGCTTCGGAACTGTTCAAACTTAGTTACCTGTGCACTTTTTAGCCAAATTACAGAAGAGAAGGGGTTATCGTCTATCAAATAACACCCTCGCCGATTGAGCGGGCCATATAGATCAGTTAGCAAGAACGATACGTCAGTGCCTTAACGTCACGTTACACACACGTCAACACGAGCCGCGCGCTCCGGACAGTCGATAGGTTGAGGGGCAGCGACCATCGCTGCCAACATTCGCCTGTTTGTACAGATCTGCTTCAACCACACCAAGTACTGCGAGCCCTGGATGCTGCCCACGCCCGAGGACACCACCTGGACGTCCGAGATGGAGGCCGAGTATGTCAAGGTGAGGACTCCGCTGCGTCCGCGCACCTCCATCGCCTTTAGCTAATCTAACGACCCTTATTTATTATGCATAGTATAGTGAATGAGTTCAGATCTGTGAGATGTGAACTTTGAACGTCGACAGATCCACGGACCGGACCCTTACGGTTTCGGAGGCGCACCTCCGCCCTCCGCCGCGCCCGACCTCGGCGATCTGCCCGACCTGGGCGACCTGCCCGACCTGGAGGCGGAGCCCGACCACGACCTCGGCGAGGACGACTTGGAGGCGGAGGGCCGCGAAGACCTGTAGCCCGGCAGGCAGACATTCCTGCGCCCTTTTTTACTTACTGTCTTATTTGTTAAGTTTAGTACGTTTACTTGTTACTGTTTCGGAACTTTGGCTCCGAATTCATGTGTTTTCATTTAGTTACAAATGTTTGACTTGAGACTGGAGATTTTATTACATGACATGATGATTGTTGTATGACATGACCTTACGTTACACCACTTGTGATAGTCCTCGGTTGTGACCTGTCCCCCGCACCCACCACACCCCCCGCACCATCCGCACCCACCACACACCCC